AAAAAGGTGCAACAATTCGTTAACAATAGCAACAATAACTGCTAAAAACATAACAGCACTTGAATGCTTAACAAAAAAAGTATGGAGGAAAACAAGTTAGCAAACAAAAAGCAGACAAATGCACTTATCTCAAAAAAATCAAAAAAATGTGCTCACTTACTGCTGGACGAGCGGGCGAAGAGAAGAGTGATTTACAAATCCATACAAGTGTGTTCTTTTTGTGTGCTCTTGCGTTAGTATTTGCAGATATATGCCCGTGAGGTAGAGGTAGGCAGATAATTGCGAAGTCACTTGTAAAATTCTTCAGTTATGCTTAACGGTGTTTGCAACAGAACAACTCCCGTGCTAATACGATATATTAGCAATAAGACTGTTTATCTTAATATGAAGAATACAACAGTTTCTTGCAGAGGTTGTGCCAGGTTTCGTGTCATTGTTATAAGCAAATTGTAGGAACTTTATTAGAAAATAATATTTGTTTGAAAATTGATTAGAAAACAAAATAGAAGCGTGAGTCTACTACGTATGTCCAAAATTGGTAACTCCATAAACGAATACTTAGTTTTCATCACAAACGGTTTACATTAATCAATTATGATTTATTTCAGTAGTCTCCGGAAAACAATAAAAATTTATTTTATTCGATGGTGAAAGATGATCACGGAAATTAGGTTTTGGAGACATTTTGACCCCTTTGTACTTTAGCGCCACCTGTCGTTTCAAAGTGTTGTACCATGCCACTCTGCCAAACCTAGAATAACATCATAATTATAAGCTTTCCTAACTTCATTATTTGCCTCTATGGCATTCCATATCTTACAATGATTTAAAAGACGCCTCTAAGAAAGTCTCTACAGGTATGAGTTCTTATTTGTAACTGGAAGGTCCTCCGCCTTACAGTTTTCTGTTTTTTTCTTATCATCAGATCGAAAAATTCATATCTTTCAACTACTTGAACAAATTTTTCGTTTCATAGGTTTTGTAGGAAATTGAATGCTCTATAAAAAGGTCTAAAAAGATTTTTTTCATAAACCTGTTTAAAGGATATTAACGGTTGAAATTTTATTATTTTGAGGCAAATTTCTTTTTTTCTTTTGAATTTTGAACTTTGCTTCTTAACAACGGCAAGACAACAGTAAATAATTTAAATATAAATATAATAAATTATTACTTTTGTTTTGTTTGCGAAACTCATACGGCTATGCAGAATGACGATGAGCACCACCATCCAGGTCCGTCAACATCGTGAAGCACCTCTCCGAGCCGTTCGATACCACACGAACTTTTTGACAGGGTTATCCCCTTTTTTTAAATATAATGTTGGAAAAGGTGATATGTACCGCTAATCTGAACAGCAGTATCTACTCTAAAAGTACAATGCTACTGGGGGTACGCAAATGATATTGACATCGTAGGCTTTAACAACAGAGTCAGAGCAGCCTTTTCCAGCCTAGAAAAAGAAGCGCAAGAGGTTGGTCTTGCGGTGAACCAGGGTAAGACAAAGTACCTGGATGCCACACACAAAGAACTATTAAACTGGATGCCACGCGTATTGGGAACTACGTAAATGTTGACAGCTATATATTTGAAGAAGTTAAGGAACCAGCATAAATTCCACCAATAAGATGGAGATCAAGCGCAGCAAAACTCTTGCCAACAGGAGCTACTTTAGGAGAAGCAGAGCTACCGGGATATACAACTGGCGTGACCTCGCAAAGGGTAAAGGCAACTGACGAAATTTTGTGCTCTAGGTCCAGACCGACTCACGGATGCAGTGCCAAAAAAGAAAGAGAAGAAGTTTCCGCGGAACAAAATATAGAAGTGAGTCGACGCTATATAATAGTGTAACACCATAATACAAAGGGCCGTGATGATACTAGTTGGTATTAATAGCAGCCGAACTACAACTGACAAAAATTATACATTTTTACTTATTTTAATATACATACATTTGTATTATCGCCTTTAAAATAGGCTCCTGAGCTTATACGAGTACAAGCATGCCAACGCCTAATCCAACTTTCCGTACACTTGTTATAAGCCCCGGCTGTGATATCCTTCAGTGTCTTCAGTGAATTTTTGGAGCGTCATTCGCAAGATTATTGGACAAGTAATGATGCATTTGACCTCTACTCTACGTCGTTTTTGCAAAAGATTCAGGTCTTTTGGTATGAGTTTGACGCATTCTTTATACCCAAAACATTAACCAAAGTGTAATGAATCAATCCATAATAGATGTTTAAAACCTCTGATGCCAACACGACGATTTTCAAGTACTCTTTCTTTAACTGCTGCCAAACGCGTACTAATTGACATAATAAGCTCTAATTTCAAACGAAATTATGAAAAAGGTTTTACCAATCTAGGATTGGTTGATTTCATTTGTTGGTATACATATAAGTTTTAGAAAATCGTGTTGATACTAGGCATGCTGTAAAACTCGTTTCGTTCGAAAGAAAAGCAAATTTTTTTTGTCAGAATTCAATTTTATTATTCAACATAAAACAACTAGAAAGATTTGGAATGAAACTGAAATCTCAACAATTACCTCATCATTGTCGTTAAATTTATTTCTCTATTGGTATCTGAAGACAGTAAAAAGCCGCTAAAAGGCCAGATCCAGAGAATCAAAGAATAATGTATGACTTTCCAATATTTTCATTATTTAATCCCAGTATGGTGAAAAGGAAATTCCTACCAGGCATAACTAAATAACAATACAATACAAGTTGGTCTTCGAAATTCAGTTAGGTGTACACGTTTAAGTAAGCTTAAGCTGTTGGATAGTTAACGGCGCACAAAACAATGCATGCTGTGACCAATATGCTACAACTGTGTTTAGAACTGTACATTCACACACATACTCGCATGTAGCTGCACTGCTGGCAACACGGAAAATGCATTAACGAGCAAACAAAGCACTTGACAAAGTCACCGGGAAAAACGAACAGTCAAAAGTGACTGCTAGTCACGCTGACATTCATCGCAACGCACAGAAATGCACAAAAACCTGTGTGTGTGCCGAGTATACGTATATATGCATCCATTGCTTGCGTCGGATCAGCTGAGCATAAGCACCTTACGATGTACGTTTGTATGGGTAGATGTGTGTAAGTCACACAGTGGTGTGTGTGGGCGGCTACATAATGAAAAGTACAGCTTGGCGGTGCGTAGCTGCAGCTCAGCGGCAAACTAATGCAACTTCACAGGATTAAATTTATAATAGTTCCGTAATAAAGCACCGTAAGCAGATGTCAAATTGTCTCATATTATGTTATGTGTTTTATGCCTTTGTACACTGTGAAAATGGGCAAAACCAGATGACAACCACGCATACTTCCCTTATAACAAACTTTTAACTTCCATCTGATTTTTTTACTTTAAAGTATACAAAGCAAACCTCAATGAAGTTAGCAGAATATAACTTTGCGCAAATAGTGCCCTCAAGGTATTTCATCTTACGTCCAAAACTCCGGTTCACTTCATACCGCATCTATTGGTCAATGTGTAAGAAATCTTAATAAACTTTAAAAATACTCTCTTTCTAATAACAGTGAATCCTCTTGCCATAAATTGATGAAATCACGGCGATACTTTCCCTAGTTTAATATAAAGTTTTGACAACAAATGGATGGCGAGAATATAAAATGTTCGGTTACACTCGAACTTTGCCCTTCCTTACTCGTTTAATTTTATTCTATTATATTTTCACTCTATAAATTATTTTAAATTTACAGGAACATCAGTCAAGTGATGACCTTTATATGAGCTTTTGTTGCATTTTGCGTTACTGTTTCGATAATGTCGGCAGTAACACGAATTTTGCAGATCGTCAATGGTCAAAGAATTATTCGCTTATATTTTGTTATTCAAATCACCGCATAATAACAAATCAGAATAAATCAAATCTGGAGTTCTGGGTAGACAATCAATGCCACTACTTGCGCACGTCCTCTGTTTGATGACTATAACCCTCGATACTTGTTTACAACGATTTTTTCTTTTCTTCTAAGGTAAATATGGTCCTTTATCAAGAACTATAGAAATCAGGTGCGTTGTCACTTATTTGAGTTTGTCGGTATTCTAAGTGACATCAAAATAAAATTATATAATCCTTCGAAATTAGTTGTTTTAAATATTTTGCAGAAGTTTACTCAATCGTTTTACTATAAATTTAAGTGTGTATTAATCACTACTCGTCCAGTTTACACTACAATGAACATCTCGGATAAAAGTGAAAAACATGGCTGAAACATGGAAAATTATGCTTATTTGAACAAACCATGGTTTAGTATGAAAAATATTGGAATTTTGTCCATTCAGAAGCGAAGGCGTCCTGGCTGGACGAATAAATATTGAAACGTGTGTTTAGTTTGGGGAAGAAATGTAAGGATATTAAGAAGCTTCCTGGGCTCAGTAAAAGCCATCTCATTAGCGTTATAAAAGTTTTGGTTGGTTACTGTTTGATTAAGTCAAAAGTATATTTCTTGCCTTGTGCCAAAGTTATCTGGATTATGTTGAGGTGGAATCAGCCCATAGGAACTATTTGGTATTGAGGTCAGCCGACTTAATAGATTAATGATGGGTCCATAGTGAAGATATTTTTAAAAAAGCTTCTGTTTGGATAACATTTGCTGTTATCCAAATTAACACAATTTATCATTATTTTACCAGATTATAATATAATATTATATAATAAATGTCTTTTGAGGCATTAGTGGGAATGTTTTTCTTAAATGCTATAAACATAAATCCACAACAAATTGGCATCATTTGCCAAAAGCAGGAAAATATGGCCAACATTTATTTTTGTTGTTGTTATTTTTGTATGAGCACTGGTGGGTGCCCAATTGAGTAATGCAGTGAGGCATATGCCGGTGAAATTCCGGGTAAACGGAAGTTTCCAACAAATTTAGAACAAACAATAACAACAAATATATTTGCCCAACAAAAACAACATACAACAAAATATTAACATAAACTACTTCATCTCATTTAAGAAGCGTTTGGCTGTGAAGTCTAGATAAATATCAAAAGCAAGTATTTTACTAACTTACCAAAAATACAAAAATAAAAAAGAACAACAACAAATATACAAGCAAACATTTCAGCACATTTCTAGAGTGCAAAATTAAAAAAAAATTAAAAAGAAATACTGTGAAAGAAAGGTGAATCGCAATCATCATTTCGCAGCTAACCAAGTAGATTAGTAGAAAGAAATATAAATCGCAAAACAAACAAAGTCAATGTACTTAAATAGACAAATATAAATAAAGCATTTGAAGAGCGTTCATGGATTAGCCCCATCGAGGGTGTCTCGTAAGCATGCAAGCAGCGGAAATGAATGCTTGAAGATGTGCAAACAAACGGATCAACCGCAGAGTAAGCAACAACAAATGCTGGCAGCAAAAATTTACACGGATTACAGCGGGATGCGTAAATCTCACGCGAAAATAAATGGTGTGTGCGCACATATTTGTCTTATTTAAGCGTGAAAGTATAATGTTAAGAGGTGAGTATGGGAAATTAATCATATTAATGTTGAGTTACATTGTACCCTTAGAAAGTGATATTTATAAATATTTGTTAACACATAATTAATCGCACAAATATTTATAATAAAATTTTAGACAACTTGATTAATAGCATTGAAATGATTAAGGTTATATTTTATAGTATAAAATGGTACTTTGACCTAAAATATTTTTTAAACCAGCAAAAATTAGCTTGAAATATTTTGGTAGATCGTTAAATCTCAACAAAAATGTTGAAAAGAGCTCGAACTTTACCAGATTTAATTTCGAACGATAGTTTCATGGTATTTAACGAAACAAAATTAAAAGTTTGTTTGGTCCACCTTAATATACATAATATACATACACTAACTGTTTAAATGTATATGTACATACAAATGAAAAAACTCCGTGTACCTTAATGAATACAGTATTTGGTTGTGATTGCTACTGAATTGAATTTTAGCGAAGAGGTAAGTAGTCAACGATTAAAGGAAAAATAAAACAAATCTTTGTTATCATTAATCTACATAAACTTTCTAAAATTTTTCTGTATGAACACAAGTAATAAAAAACTATACATATTTCTTAAATATATAGATTTTTGGATAATAATTACTATTAAAGATTTTTCATTTAAAAAAAAATATAATCTTTCTTCTGCACACTCATCATGTTATGCATATGAATTTTCAAAGTTACTGTGAGGTTTAAGAATATATTCTTAGACTTTAGATATAAAATGATCAAGAAATAGGAAGCAATGAAATGTGGGTGGAAATAAGATATATTTCAACATATAATTCATTTCATATAGTCACGTATGATTGCATGTGCATGTCATTAGGTCCCTTATTGATATGCGTCAATGATGAAGGCTAACTCGATAGAGGGGGCTACAAATTTAATATTTACAATTAATTTCACATAAAAACTTTGTGCCGACACTATAATAATAATATTGTATTTGAAATGTTATAAATTATTATTCGCAATTTGAGTACTTAATCCTTCTGAGAAAGTTTTTAGAAAAGTATAAGTATAAAAGTGGTGGTAAATGACCATTTACTTTCGAAGCTCAATCTGTTATATATCTCGATGAACTGAGTGGTTGTTCCATCATTTTGAATTTAAAGTACTATTCCACCAATTATTAAAAAAAGTTCAAAGCGATTTTCATAGACATACAACCACATACTTTATCTTACCAACCTCGGCTTCATCAGCGTTATTCTTTCCGCTGAATGTACCATAGCTGATCCCGTATCAAATTTGGTTCTGGTTATCCCAAAATCCGTTTTAAAAACTCAATATACATTTTTCCATAAAAAATTTAAACTTTAAATTAAATGGAAATTGCTGTACATGAGATAAACCCTTAACCAAGAAAAGTGTGGCCATATGGCTGTGCATGAAAAACTATTCGTATGGATATATATGTATGTATATGTATACCCTAAAATTAGTTAATGAATTATAGTTCTTCCAAATGTTCACATTATTATTTTTTTTCTTTTCTCATCAAGGCAGAGACACTTTTTAAAAATAAAATAAAATTTTGAATTTAAAAATGTTGTAGAAATAAGCTCGCCGGCATATTTTAAATTTTGATATTATTCTATAGACTATTCTAGAGTTCTTTGAACAAAAAAAATTAAAATCCTCATTAAATTTTCATCACTATTTTAAATTCTCCCTCGCGTTTCTGAAAGGCTTTCTAGTGTATAGTGTAATATTTGTGTATTTAAATATATCAGTACCTATGTACCACATGAATTATGTATGTATGACGATTGAAAATATATAATTTGTTTTTTGTATTTATTACATAAAATATGCATATAGGAACAGACGCAAAAAACCTAAAAAATTAAAAAAAAATCATGTTTCTATATAAATAATTCCAATTTATTATATATTTACAAAGTGATATTCAGCAAATATTGGCTAAACTTGACACCTACGGTGACTCGTTCCTTACAGTTAATCTAGTTGTTATTCAAAGTGAAATTTTCATACACTCGTTTCACTTCAAATTAAATGAATCTCTCGATCAATGAGCTTATAAAATTTTCTTTAAATCCGGTCCGAGCGTAAGGCCAAGATTGGGTTAACTAACACCCATATATTGGAAGCAACTTTCAATGTTCCTCCTTAGTTCGAAGCATATGGGTATAAGTAGCATCAACCAAATGTATTTTTCAAATTTAACAGCTGTCAAAAGTTGTCTAGACCAAAGGTAATGAGTTCAAATCGCGATCCGTGGTTACTTAACATTTTGTAATATTATATAATTTTTTGTCGGATATCATTTAGACCAGTTTATTAAAAATTATATTGAACTCGAAAATGAAATGTCAAAAAACTTTGTAGTAAATCATATCTCCTTCACTTACCATATACAGTTATGTGTTCGCCCTCCTATCACTACCCAGTTTTTCGAAAGTTCTTTAATTTCGTACCTACTCGCTGTAGAAAAGCAATTCAACTTTCCTGCTTCAAGTTTTTTTCATTATTTTTGGTTCGCTCCTCTCCTTTTTCATACCCTTTCGACAATTGATTTTGCTTCGATTGCTCTTTGTCGGAATTTGAAATCAGGTGCTCAGACAGCCGAAAATTTTTAAATTATTCACAGACACGTGTTCGGTTTCAGGCATACGCACCCATTAACCTGGTGCTCCTACGCCAATTTAAGTATAATATAATATGTTATGTATTATGTGTGAGAGCGTGTGTTTGAGTGTTTGCGCGTGACTTGGTCAGTGCCTGTCTCACTGTGACGTTGCGTTTAGTAACAATTACTTTAATAATTTTCTGCTTTTGATATATGTTTTAGCATTTCTTCCTTCCCTCCCAAAAGTGCACAGCACAGCCGTTTGCTTCAGTGTTCCCAGTTAATTACTTTGCCACATTGCTAATGAGCTTAAACGCGTGTGACACGCACAGGCAAGAAAGCCAATACATTTACCTATGTGTGGATGCATGTACATATATGTATATATATATTTATATGTCTGTGATATATTTATATATGTATATATATATTTCAGTTGTTTGTATCTATAAAAATGCTTGCATAAATTATATTAGAAACTAACTTCACTATTATAAATGTGTGCTTATGTAGGTTAACTCAGTTGTGCGCACACTTTTGGTATGTGCGTGTGCACGTGCGTGTCTTTAAAAAATGTACCATCAAGCCCGGCCGAATGTAGGTTTACACAGTAATTCACGTTGCTTTTGCCATGTTTTATACAAAAACTTCTCTTTGTGATTTTTACCATTCATTGGACTCATCTTTCAACAGCCTGTCGACCTGCTCCACTTTCAGCGCACACATATACAATGACCGGAGAAAGGTAAACTTTGAGTGTCCTGAGCAGTTGGCGATTGCAGGACATTCACACGAAACTTTTGTATTGTTTTCTAGTCTTTTTTTTAGTTCATCATCCTTTTTTGTTTGGTTTTTGTTTCAACTTATTGGAAAAGGTAATTCTTTTTTATGTGCTTTCACAAGTGCACATTTAGCTTCGGGTCAGATACCGAATGAAATTTAAAACACGAATAGGTTGTATGTATGCATAAATTATGAGTTCCAAACAGTTTTTAGTAAGTGTGCACTATTTTAATACAAAAGAGAGAGAGAGGGAAAAAAAATAGAAGTATTTTCATAATGGAAAGTAAAGAAGGTTAAATGTAAGAATACCAGAAAACATTTCGAAACGTCTCAACTCATCATACAGGAATCACATTTAGCTTCATTAAGGCCACTGGCTTAATTTCCGAACTTCTTCTTTCTGCTTTCCTGTTCCAATTAGCAGACGAGCTTCTGTACCTCGAATTTTGAATATGAATATCAACGTTATAACACCATAAAGCATTCATTATCACAAAAAATTTCGTCTGATCGATAGAGGGTAAGTGCACGTATGAAGTTAGCGACAACTAAAGGGTGATCCATTTCAAAGTTCCCTACTTTTTTAAAGAAAAAGCCTGCTGCCGTGAAGTCGTGCTGCTGTCTTAATAACTGTGCCTATAAAAACGTGTGTATGTTAATATTTCGCAGATGCTGCCTGTAGCTTGTCGTCGTTGAATGCTTGTATAATTAAAATGAGTGAGAAGGAGGCAACAGGGGACGCAGTGGAGTCGAGGTTATGTGAAAGTACGTCATTCTTCATTCGGGGATTGTTTGTTACGTGTTTAAATTTACGATTTCGCGGAAAAATATGTTCATGCTCCGCAACGACAGCAATAATTTTAAATAAATTTCATAAGGAGAGGGAGGTAACGATCCCCAGTACTTCCACTGGTTCCAAAGGATCAAGAGGAAAAACAGCTCAATATTATCGTGATTACAGAGCACGAAATCAAGCAGTGATGGCAAAAGAGTTATTAAATACGGTAACTAGTAACCTGTATACAAGTTCTGAGCTTGCCCTTGCGAAATAAGAAGATCAAATTGCGAGAAATCTAATTTGCACATAAGATAAACAAGTATCAGACTTTATTAACTCGAAAAAAGACCTTTCGATAATAGTATTTAATTGTCAAAGTCTTCGTGCACACGCCAATGATTTTCCCGATCGAGTCTTCCAAAATACGAAGCGCCCGCTGAAAGTAAGAATTAAATTGAAAAAATTTGTTTGTCGAGATAAAATAAAAAACTTTACATGCCAAAAATATTGTGTTATACAACCATTGATTTCAATCCTTTCATGTTTCCAATTTGCCATCATGAAGTTTCACATCTTCCGCGCGGAGGGACTGTTTTTCTTTACAATTTTATGGCCGACTGTCTGTAAGGCAGGTAAGGTGAAAGGTAAGCTATTCATTTAGAAGGGTGAATTTCATAGAATTATGCGCTTTTGGTTTACTTGAGATATATCTCTATCAAAGACATCTCTATCCCTACCTCTACTAGTGAGATGGATGGATGAATATGAAATGATCAGAGAAGTACTCAAAGGTTAACTTTTGTCGATTCAAATCAAAAATCTTG